TTTTTTAAATTGCAACCCATAAATAAAGCTGATACTGTTTAGACTTTAAATAATTTTAAACTGTATTACAGCAGCACAATGCACAATGGAACATAAATTGCAAAAATGCACTTTGAATCTGTCCAAGCCCTACTCAGGCATTTTCTTTTACTGTAACGGACACAAAAACTCCCTTGCTTTTAACAGAGCGTTTCATAATTTCCAACTACGAAAATTATGTAAACCGCGACACTTATCATTCAACCAGAGCTCAAAATATCACAAGGATCCTCAAGAGCACAGCAAAGACTGTATTAAAAGTATACTAGTGACAAACTAGTATACCTTAGATCTTTTTTTCTGAACCGGGGAAAATCTGATTAACTTGCTTTAACTCCGCAACTCTGAGTTCTTGTGTCTGTCCTATCCAAACCTGAAAGTATTACAATATGTATCTGTATAGCAGGTGGTGAACAGCTTTTTAGTACAGATTACACTTTTCTAAAACGCATTTGTCTGATTATGAATAAAAAAAACACATATAATTAAACACGCGTTTGCGATTTAAATCAAAAAGCGATTTAAATCAATATAAATGTTTATATTGTAACGCATACTGTCCAGCCTCCATTTCTCTATAAAAATTTGCTCTATTACAAATTTACAATTTGTTGATAATAGAAATGTTAGGTTCTCTAAAGCTTTGTGATAGTTGACCCACCCAGGCAGCAAAAGATCAGCTGCACTGGTAAGATGCGACACCGAAGATATGATTTATAACCTTTTAAATCTGAAGGGATCCCCCCCACACACACACACAATAGAAGCAGGAAGCAGAAGCAGAAGCAGGGACTGTTGTCAGAAGGGAAGAAGGTGACTATTCATTGTTATCAAAAATGACTTAGATTCGATCATGTTGTGATATTTAGAAATATAAAAGTCAATTGATTGTCCATAATATTGCTATTCTATTTTTTCGAAGAAATGTTTGTTAAAAGAAAAGTCACAGTGCCAGCTGGATTTGAACACACAACCTGTAGGTTAGTAATCAGGCATGTAGACCAGTGGGCTACTAGGGAAGTCACATGAAGAGAGAGGCGAAACAGCCCTACACAGCCCTGTCGCAGTACACAAATATAATCATATCATTATTAATTTCTTTAGATACGCGATTCCATATTATATTAGCAGAAAAGCTTAAAACTACCACTTTTTACACGCTACTTCACATGTTAGTTAAAGACTTCGATGCTTAAAATGTTTAGGAAGAAATGGAATACCGGTGTGTATTTTTTCTTTAAAGTACCGATTCCTGGAATCTGACTGGCTGACACCCTTCTGAAGTGGTTCCATAATATCTGGTATACGGAAAAGAAAGCGTTGATCAAAAGGCCTGGATTCTTATGTATCTGATACAAGTATCTTTTAATACAGTCTTTGCTGTGCTCTTGAGGATCCTTGTGATATTTTGAGCTCTGGTTAAATGATAAGTGTCGCAGTTTAAATAATTTTCGTAATTAGAAATTATGAAACGCTCTGTTAAAAGCAAGGTTAATTTTTATGTCCATTGCAGTAAAAGGAAATGTCTGACAAACATTGGACAGATTCCAAGTGCTTGTACAAATGTGCTAAAGAAATTATACTGAGTTTACAGCTTGTTCAAAGTCATTATTGGACATTATTAATACTATTAGTAATATATTTGGCAAAGGCTTTGATGCAAAAATATTTCTGATAAAGGTAGGTTATGTACTTTTGTCCAATTGAGCAATCTTGCTTTCATAAAATATACCAACTTTTTAATGACTGATGATTAACATGCTGTAATACACAGTTTAAATATAAAAGCTCAAATGCTGTACATGAGAGGTTAAGTTTTATTGGCTCCTCCTGGCGGTTTTACAAGGTGATGCCGGATACTTTCCGGCATGACGTCAAATGACGCGATTAACCCCGTGATACTGCGTGATACTGCGACACGCCCACCGGGGTATACCGCGAAATACCCCACCCATTTTGAATGGCTGCATCTGTATTACATTACTTTATTTACCTTTCAACAACTTTCTATTTTATTCTTTTGCACCTGAAATTATTTAGAATTCCCATAGCAAAGTGACTGAATTTGTATCTAATTCAGAATGTTTTAATGCTCTTTAAAAATCAAATTTATTTCAGCGCTCTGAGCATTTTTAGCTTTATCAGTTAGCTGTAGATCATAAATATTTGAAAGTAGGATGATTGCACTCAAATAAGAACATTTGCAGGGAACGAATACTTTTACAAAATATTATATGTGACCCTTTTCTTTAGTAGGGGAGAATTGTTTTCTTTGTTATTGACTAAGTGCAGGGCAGTCGTATATGTTTATTTCATGGTGATATAGACGGCATTAATATAACATTTGGGGTCCTTTTCTGTGCTTCCTGGGTGGTAGGGTCTTGTTGGGACACAAGATTAAGAATTTATTTTTTCATTAATAGTTCCCATTTTCACTTAGCACCTGCTCTGAAAGCTTTATTCAGTTAAGACGTAATTAATTTCTCTTTGATATCGAGTTTATTTGATAGAATTTGTTTTATGATTAGACATCAATATTTGTTTTAGTTTTGTCTTGGACAAGCTAATGTAAGCTAAATTCTCTTACCAAATGTGTTATCTGTTCAAATAGCATTGTCGCTGCAGCAGTCTAATTGGAAACAAAATGTTATAGATTTCCCAATAAGTATTTCTATGTGCCAGCCATGTGTTCTGTAGAGAAAAAGTAAAGGATACCTTCACTTTATAACTTTGCGGTCATAGGGTGATGAACTAAGGAGCCTTGCGTATTTGAAAGCTTATTACAGGTAAAAAATGCTTTTAAATATTTAAGAAAAAGTGAAAATGGGTTTATTTTGAACAATTGTATTTATTTTACTTCTTTGGTAGTTTATTAGCTAAATGAATTTAAGGTTTTCATTACCATTAAATTTAGCCTAAACCATTATGCATTCCAAATACCAATTGCTCATTAATATATTTAATTTGTGTAGTAATGTATTTTCTTTTGTCCACCTTACTTGAATTCCTTTTTAATTTCCAGTTGTCTTTTTTTCTCATCTGAATATTCCTAATTGTATATCTTTCAGTTTTTTGTTTTCATTACTTGACCATGTGGGCCTTTTGTATAGATTCAAAAGTACAGATTCCCTGGCATCTTTCAAGTAATGACTGCATGAGTTCTTTTAAATCCTAGAACATTATGCTTATATTTGCGGTATACCAGTAAAACCTCACCAATGTTCTGTGTCTCTAGGTGTGACTCATGCCTCAGTGTGGGCAGCCTGTATTTCCTACCTGAGTGCAGCTGTGCCTCCTGCTCTAAGAACCTCTGCTCAGGGAATCCTGCAGGGCCTTCATCTGGGTTTGGGGAGAGGCTGTGGGGCCATGGTTGGAGGAGTCTTTGTCAATTTCTTTGGTGTGTATCCTGTATAGATCTCATTCGTTATGATGGTGTTTCCTATTGGATGTCTGGAGGGCCCATCAATACAGCAGATTGCTGACTTTCTTTAGTTCACATTTGTATTAGTTGTGTGTGAAAACAAAATTGCTTGTGGTAATCATCTGGGGGGGGCATGGGGTCAGATGTCTTTGGAGAACATTCCTAGTGGTAAATAATCTGTTATTTTGTAATAATTTCTATCATTTTCTAACCAAACTGTCTACCTCAGATGTGCCCTTGGCCTTTTACCTTTGAGGGATAAAATACTTCAACAAAGAATGACAGTCACTGGAAATTTCTTACTTTAATTTGTCTTTTTAGGTGCGGCTGAGACATTCAGAGGAATAGGAATGGCATCTCTCATGATTCTTTTGATATTCTCACTTATTCAGTGGTTATTAGTAAAAAATGAAGAAAAGGGTAAGACTGTTAAATATGAGTGAAATCAGAACAAACCTGCTTTCAGATACATTCATATTAAGATTTTGTCCTACATGTGTTTTTGAGGAAGTCTCATGTTAAAAGGAAATTGATTCAGGTTTATCTAATTTAAGATTATGTTCATGTTTTAAGAATCATCTTTAATAGATCACTTCTGATTTGAGTAATATTTAATTGATAGATTTTTTTAAAAAAAGACAAACTACACTTTACTTTCATTAAGTATTGTACAGTTGAGATATAAGAATGAAAGAAATGAAATACAGTAACTGGCAAAAACCTGATTTTAAGGTACCACTGTGGTTAATACAAAATCATATTGAATGTTCTTATTATATGAATTATTAATAGTAATTTATATCATAGCCACTTGAGAATGCATTGCTTTGTGATCATTTCAGTCACTGTGGACAAAAGTGCATATTGATCTTGATGTCACCATAATTTTGTTCCAGAGGATAAGATGTTGGCTGAAAACATCCCTGTTCCATCCAGTCCAGTACCCATAGCTACCATTGACCTCGTGGAGCACCACTCTGAAGCTACAGCACCTCGTGTGGAGCCTAAAATTCCTCTAAAAAAGACAAAACACCAGGAGGAGCAAGAGGATGTCAATAAGCCTGCCTGGGTCATTTCCTCTTCTCCATGGGTTACAATAGCATTTGCCATCTACCAGATCAAAGAAATCGTGAAGATGGCAAAGAAAAACTCCATCACAGAGAGTCAGCCTCTTCAGGTAGGGTGGTATTCACTTTTTTGAGCATGAAAAAGGGACACAAAGATGCATTATACAGATGCAGCCAATAAGAATTCACAAAAAAACTAGTTGCACTATACCGCGGTATTATTTAGCACACCAAATTTAGCTTTTTCTTTACCCAAAGAAGATTGATAAGTGATACTTGTGGTGCGTTAAATGTTAGTGAAACAGTAGCTTTAATTTAATTTGTTGTACTACTTTAAATCCACTTTATATGGAAAATTAATATGGAATTGTGTAATTAAAGGGAAATGTTGGTAATTGAAAATAAAAAATAACCACAGTAACTTCAACATCATTAACAGTGTAATTGTTAAAGTAACAGTGTAGGCCAGGCCTGAGCTGACATCAGGGCAGGAAAAAGCATGAATATGAGGAGTGTTGGGCTCAAATTAAATGAATTCATAAAGCAGTCGGCATTAGACATTATCATAAAATTATGGCGGCATAGAGCAGGATTCACTTTCTAATCTTGCCTGATCGGTATGTATCTGTATTGATAGCGGGAGCCAGCTAAACGTAACCAGGAGCAAACTGGATGCAAAACAAAAGTGAATCTGCTAGGTATATTGAAAGTCTGGAGATCTATATCAATAAGAACTCAAATATGAGTAAATCGGAGCGTGAAAATAAATGATCATATCGAGAGATTCTAAGATCAGGTGAAACCGAGGAAGTTTAAATGGTGTCTGAACGTGATGTGCACTTTCTTTTTGAAAAAGTTGCCTCAATTTATGAAAAACTCCAGAAACTGGATCTGCTACAAAAAGTAGTCATTGATAATAATAACTTGAAGGAAGCGGTAACTTTAAGTAATGCATTGATTGAGGAATCAGTCTAAGATTTACAGTGTTGCAGCATGAGGAAAAATATTATAATAATGGGGCTGAGAGAGAAAGAGGAGAATGAATCATATAAAAACACAGAAGATCTGGAGAAAACCTTCATGTGGAAAGAGCTGAAATTAGCAAAGGAACAGGTGGAAGGAGTGAGCTTTGAAAGTGCATCGTGTCAGCAGGACGAAACCATGAAGAAGCGTCGAATCAGCCAAACCTCGGCCTGTAATGGCTCGGTTTTCGAGCTACATAATGAACATAATGGTAATGGAAAAAGAAACGGAGTTAAAACGAAAGACTGTTTTGATTAACCATCAATTCCTGCTGGAAGTAGTGGCCAGAAGGAAAATGCTTTACCCCAATATGAAAAGAAACTGGGAACGAGGTATTAAAGTACGTCACGTTCTACATTTATTATATCTGGATGACGATCTTTTTAAAGATCCAAAATTACTGCATGGCAGTAGTAAATTAGCATAATGTTTTTTTTTTAAAAAGGACTGACACTTGGACTCTTGTAAACATCGGCATGGTTATGCTAATCAATTTAAATTAAAGTGCCTGTAATCCAGGCTATATTAAACTGCTCTGGGGTCTCTGGCTAATCTCATTTTGTGCTAAAATCAATTGGGATTGAAATTTGGGAAGATAGCCTTGCCCTCAGAGTACATTATGTTTCAAGATCTGAAATGTAATAATGTTTATCTCTTGTGTTTTTTTAATTTATTTGTGAAGTCATACAGATGCAGCCATTCAAAATACACGGTACACACCCATACCACGCTTAGTATTGAATATTTATATGGAAGTTTACCACTAAAGGGAAATTTTAGTAGCTGAGCATAAAAAGAATAGGAGCATAATGCATCTGAAGGTCATAAACGATATTAATTTAGGAACTAGACATATTATGTAAACTGTATATTGCTGGTATTGGTGTTTTAAAGAAAAAATACACACTAGTATTCCATTTCTCCCTAAACATTTTAAGCATCAAAGTCTTACATGTGGTTATTTCGAAACGTTTTTACGTGCTTCTTCTGACCTTATTACTGTACATTTATTTACTTTGTGAAAATTGATCGTTTTAACCTTTTCTGCGAATACGCTTGTTATCGGATTAAACAAAAGCATACTTTTAGAATTGGATTAATAGGGAATATAACATGGATTTGCGTATCTAAATAAATTAATAACGGTATAACTATATTCATGTACTGTTGCACAAACAGTAGTATAAGACTTTCCATTGATATGTGTATGGCTGTTTCACTTATAACCCTGAGGTCAAGTGTTCAAACCCAGCTGTCGCCATCAGTTTTCTTTTAAAAAATAAACATTTCTTTGAAAAACTAAAATAGCAAATATTATTGGCATTATATTGACATTTTTTATATTTCTTAATATCTCAACATGTTCGTACTGTATGTACACAGCAGTACTGCAGGTTGTACTGTAGGGTGAAAATCCCGTGAGCCCGAAAGCCCTACATTAATGTGCATTTGATGCACTGCACGGTTGTAATCGCATCTCTCTCTCTGTGTCTACATTGTTTGTAAACAAACCGGTTTCACAGGTATTTTCAAAGTAGAATAAGGGCAAGTCCACCTCCCCCACTCACATGTTTTCTTAGAAAAACAGATTAACAATGTGAAGCTGTGTCAGTCTTCTTTGTAAAAAAAAAAGCTCAAACGCTGTACATGAGAGGTTGAGCTTTATTAGCTCCACTTGGCGGTAATTCCAGATACTATTATCTTACTTGCGGTATTATGTGGTATTATACGGTAACCCGTGTTATACCGCAACACACCCACCGCGTTTTACCACGGTATAACCCGCTCGTTTTGAATGGCTGCATCTGTATATTGTAATAACATGGATGAACTGATCTGTTTTCTAATTACTATTCATATACAGTTACTAATAATTGTTTACTGTATATAATAGTATACAATATAATAATAAAATATATAATAAATAAAATGCTGTTATGTTACTTCGCAGTATGATTAGCTCAGGTACTTTTTATTATTAAAGTAAGATTTTTTTGACAGGCATATTTAGCTGCAGTACATTAAAGATTCAGTGTGCCACATGGCAGTTTTACAGAGTAGTACAGTCCTGCATCAGATTATTAGTATGAATAAAAAAGGCATTATGTGTTGCTGTTTGCCATAAGGTGGCACTTGTTGCAGTATTCTGTCTGACACCACGCACATTTTAAATGGGTGTAACTGTAATAGCCAAGCCCTAAAACTCATGTTTATTTTCTATATTTTGCACAAACATTGAAGAATTGCCCCAAAATAGTAGGGTCGATGTGTCTGTGATTACGGTTTCACAGAGTTTGTCTGACATTAAAGTTTCTTATACGTGCATGCTGAATATTGAAAATCTGTTACAACAGAAGTTGTGCAGCACTGCACTTTGTTTCAACAGTCACTTGCAGACAAGGTGTAGGCTCTGTTAAATCCAAAGAACTCTACATTGTGCATGCACGGATGGACAGGTAGTAAAAGAAAGCAATTTCTTAAAGAAAATTTAAACTGTTGTCAGTTCTGTTATTTTTGTAATTGTGTTCAAATAAAATGATGCCAGTCTTTTATTTACTTCACAGACAAAATGCATTGTAGTACTGTATGGTGAACAGATTTACAAAATAGTTCAATGCACATACACTGTTCTCACTGAAGTTAGAATTAGTAAGATTTTTTCCTTAAGCTTTAAGCACTATCATATGTTTCTGTACACTTTATGTCCTTTACTTATTAATTATTCTAACCTCTAGTATTGTTTAACTGTGTTTTTGCAGAATTTCAGCTTGAGCAGGACAGTTAATCAGTTGACAAGGGTGTGTCAAAGTGGAGTAGATTCTATTTTATAACCAGGCACAAGACAACAAAAAACAAAAGCTTTTTTTTACATTTTTTGTAAAAGGATGTATGCCTACCCTTGGCTTTCCTAACTGTTGCAGTCTCAATAAAGGTGCTTTTTACAATCTTCTGATAGGATGGACTTATAAAATAGTCTTTTTTGCAGCAAGTCACTTTTCTAGTGCAGTGATAAAAATTTTCTTCTTGATATCCCATTATATTCATGGAAGGTGATATTACTGAGATTAGAACTGGTGCTCATTATGATTCATTGTATTATTTTACATTCATAATCTTCATATTTCCATTATATTCATGAGTTCACATTACTTGGTACAGGTACACATACATACAGTACTGTATCTTTCACTATAGATTTCTCTTTTTTTGATTGTAGGAAATTTGACTTATTTTTAAATAAACATTATTATATTTGCCTAAGATGGAGTAAAGCCTGATACAATAATTGTACACCTCATGGAGGTGGTGCCATTAATGTCATGTAAGCAATGTTTAAGTATTCTTTTTTCAATATGTATGTGTATCTTTGTACCAGTTAGGTAAACCCACCGTTATATCTTTGTAACATATATCTTTTGTATTATTTTGTATTATCTTGATAGCAGCTTAGCAACAATTACTACTTTAAAGTGCAGTCAGCAGTGATCTAGTTCATACTCACAGTTTATACTTTCATGCTCACAGGAATTGCTAAATAGCCATTTATATTAATTTAGATCATGCTTATTGAGTCCACCTCAGCACAGAGGGAGGTTTTTCCTAGTATTTATGGTAATAAAGCATGTAGGTTGACTTTGGACTATTTCAGGGATATTTATACATTGCTCTATTGCCAATTAATCTTCAAAGATTTAAAATATAACTTCCTGCTATGTTAAATATAAAGTAAAATATGTAAATATAAATATGTTGAGACTGATGGCATGGAATAACAGGACAACTTTCAAACCTAATGTTTGAAAATTGAGTAAAATATGCTGAATGAAATAGGTTTGAACATTTTGAATTACTGAGTATGAGTAAGAATGCATAATTTAACTATAACTATTTCCTATGATATATCCCACTTTGGTTTTACAAGTTGGCTAATAGTTTGACATGTTCTCATTTCTTTAAAGTCTTTTATGAAGTTAAAATTACAGTGTAAAGTCACAGTGCACTCTCTGAATATAAATGCTTTCTTTTTCATGCTGTCCATGTTCCACTAAAGAAAGGTGAGAAGTTATTTTGTAGTGTTTTAACTGAATATTTGATGGGGCTTTTTCCATAATGGTATGTGTCTCTCTTCGTGTGACAAATGATGAGGAATTTAAACAATATTGTGTAATGTGTTTAACCAAAGAACATACAGTCGTGTCAATGCCATTTCTTTTTATTTTCTGATTTAAAAGGACATATTCAGTTCTGAATCAAAAACTAAAGGTTCTATAATATTAACGGTGAAATAAAGAATTGTGGAGACCAAATACTTAGGTCAATTTAACTTATTTTAAGAGACAATTGTGAATTATTTGTAAAAAGTGCAAAAGTGTCAATATTTTGGCCATGACTGTAGTTGATAAAATATAGAAGTATCATATGGGCTTTATCCAATTTGCACAAATTAAAATAAGCTATTGATCCAAACATAAACATTTAAAAACTATATTTGTCATAAAAAGAACCATATTCATGTTAATGTTTAAATTAACTACTTCTGAAAGCAGAATCAAAACCAAGAAAAAATGAAAATGTAAAATGTATTATTAATTTATTTCATTTCTACTTTTCTATATTTTTGGAAAGTTAGGAAAAATGAACTATACATTTTGCTTGGTGAGGATGCAAAATAAAATAATTCTTTGTCAGTTTAATTTGCTTCAGATTTAGGACCTTTTTTATCCTTTTTGTTACCTAAACCTTTCTCGTTGGTTGATATAGAAATTTCAGTAGGTCACATTTGCCATGAGTGTCAAAATGTAAAAACAGTCAACACCTCTATAGCCAAGTGATACTTCAACTTATGCGAAGCACTATAGTGTAAAATACAACAATTTCTTAAGGAACAATGTAGTGTAAAGCAACCTTACTGCTAACAATTTGAATATATTATAGATAACATAACACAAAGAGATTCATGTAATTAGGATTGGACATTTCCACAAGGTATGGGTTTGTATGTTTGAAGTACTCTACCTAAACATTTAATCTTGTATTTAACTGCAAAAAATACTGCAATTACTTTATCAATAACAAAATTCAAAAGGTTTACAAAGTAATAGAATATCAAATATCTGTTAAAAATATACTGTCTACTGAATATTTTCATATACAGATGCAACCATTCAAAGTGCGCGGTACACACACGTACCAGAGGTAATTGGCTACGGCGTCGCGCATTGTGACGCATGATGACGCGCGGTACCACGGTACGTGATTGGTTGACCGACAGGGGCACTCGTGGTCCGTTGGTCTGTCGTAGAAAGATTTACAGTAAATGTCTTTACTGTGCCCGTTGTAGTATTGAATATTTATATGGAATTTTACCGCTGAAGGGAAATCTTAGTACCTGAGCATAAAAAGAATTGGAGCATACTGCAACGCGTCTGAAGGCTATAAACAATATTAATTTTGGAACTTAAACATACAGTATATGGCTGGTCTCGGTACTTTACAGAAAACATCACACCAGTATTCCATTTCTCCCTAAACATTTTAAGCATCGAAG